CAGAGTATCAGCGCAGCATGCTCAGTGCATGAAGAACTGATGCACCTCTTACACCACATGAGTATTTGCAGCCAGCACTACCCGTGGCACACAAGCAATAACCAGAATTTCAGCTGATGCCCTAAAACCACCAGGAAGACACACAGATGTGACTTGGCAACCATGCAGCAACCCGAGAGGTACAATGGTTTAAAATAATAGTAATAATAATAATAATAATAATAATGTGGTGATCGGAGTATGCACTTGCTTCTACCTTACCAATTCACTGTGTCAGATGTTCCCATTTAGCTTCCTAGCCAAACTCCTTAGCTATCTGTTTGCTCTTACTGTGGGGAACAGCAGCCACAAACTGCAGCTTAACAAGTCCCAGTATGACACTGGAAAAGGTTACCAGGGAGCATGTGGGATTTCCATCCTTGGATCGGTTCAGGACTTGGATAAAAAAAACAGCCACAGCTGATCCAATCTTATGCTGCCAACAATCCTGCATTGATTGGAAGTTTGTGTAAGAGCCTCCAGAGATCCTTCCAGCCAACAGTTCTGTAATTCTGTGCACCTGCTGACTCGGCAGGCACCACAGTTGGTTGAGCCTTTCCTTCCCCCAAGGGAAATTCCTGCAAAGGCATGGCAATCTGCAGCACATGCTCTATCCTGAGTGCAGCCGATGCCAGACTTCACCTGCGAGACCTTCACTGGCAGCAACCTCCCAGTCAAGAATGCTCCTCAAGGTACTGCCACTCAGGTCCAAGTGTAAGTCCCAGCACACCCATGTTATACAAAAGTCGTTTTCAGCACTTGCTTACATTGTGATAAGTTGGCAAAATTGGCTTCCCAAGCAAACGTACAGAATAAACACTTAACTACTTGCATATGGCATCTACGTTCTCTAACAACTGTCCCGTAAAAAAAGTTCTCTCTGTGGGCTTCGCAGCTCTGCTGCCCATTCCTCCTCAAAAGCAAGCTGTGCACCCCCTCACTGCTAAATTCTTGTGATGTTCAGAGCACTACCCCAGCCAAAATCCCCGTTCCTAACCCACATTTCATTCAGACAAATATGCTTCTTTCACAGTGTTAGCTAGGAAGTATCTGACTTTCCTCTGAACTTGAAATCTCTCATTTTAAACATTAAATCGGGGGGGAACACGGAAGTTCTGAAAACAAAGTTAGGTACAAGTAAGTAGCAATGTGACTCCTGGCTATGCTTTTGTTGAAAATCGTTACAACCCTTTTTTAAACACCCAGACTTCATGAATCAGTGTACTTGGCATTAAATTACAGAACCGTATTCATGTGACTTATGTGAAAGTCAAATGACTTCCAGGTTGGGAAAAAAAAAACACCAAATTCAGCAGATGTGAAGGCACTGATTAAAATGCAGCTACAACCTAGTCCTTGAACCAGGGAGTTAATGTTTGAAGGTTGCTACAGCTCTGCAGTCCATTCCCACGTGTAACAGAAGTATGAAATGTCAACTTCCAAAAAGACTGCTGTCAATGTACAGGTGAAAACTATTTTTCTAATTGTTTTAAATTGGCTTAAAATAAGGAACTCTACCTTTTACCTGAACCTGAAGCTGGCTATTGAATTCCTGACTTCCCAGTAAAGTCTCCCTTCAGTTGTTGAGCAGGAGGGGAAAACACTCTAATATGAAGCTGAAATATCCATTCACAGAAGGAAAGCACAGCACAGAGCAGAGGAAAGCTGTGCTTGTTTCACTATAGGAATAAAGTTATGTGCATGACAACTGTGCTACTTATGAGAAATCATGGTCAGGAGTCATGTTATTGCAACTCTGACCCATAATATTTAGAAAACAAGTATCTACACTGTCTTTCAACTCCTCTTTAACCACTAAATCATAACTGTTACATTTACAGGTGTTTGTTTGTTTTTTAACATAAGTTTTGGGGTATTTTTTCTCCATTTAGGATTACTTCCCATAGAGAGAATTTTTTTTGAACTGAGCTAGTAGCTATGCCTGTTGTAAAAAGTGTTAAATACTATTTCCAAGAGTCCGATATTCAAGCAAGGATGTTGTGTGTGTCCTTTAGCCCCAGACACAGTTGATTATGTGCATTCTAACGCTAAACAAGTACATTATTTCATAAAAACATAGGTAAGAACACCAACATATTTAGGGGTTGAGACCACAGAACACTATGTTAAAACATATAAACATTTTAAAACCTTCCAAAGGGATTCACTGCTTCTCCAGTACACTGGATCCAAGTAAAGAACTGCAATAAAAACCTTCCACGTAATTAGAAAAAATAAAGCACATGATTTAGGAGCGATAATTCTATTAAACGACGCTACTATATTTTACTTCCTGGAAAACTGGCAGAAGAGCCCTCTAAAATGCCTATTCATAAACAACACCATGATCTGTATCAGAATGTCTGTTTTAAGCCCAAGATACTTTCCAAAAAAAAAAAAAAAAAACAAAAACACCAAAACCAAAAAACAACCACCTATGCTAAGAATTGTTAAAAGAATAAAACTAAGCAAGACAGAATGAATGATTTCAGTAGCTTATCATGTATCAGCATTTGTCAGCCAGTTTTAGTCTCTTCTTAAATATCACTAATATCACTGAAACTGTAATAAAAGCATTTCTGTTAAGTTCGGAGCTGCAGAGAACAGACATTTACTTCAGTAACCATCTCTTCAATATGACCTTACAACAAATGTCTCAATAGGTTTTAAAGCTGTACTGTGATTTTTCTAGTAAGTGATAAGGGACTCGTTCAGGATAAAAATAAACTGATGCAAGTTCTTGGTACTTGTCTAAAGCAAGACGCCTGACAAAAGCAGCGACGTGGAAAGATGCGCCTCAAGGAGCCCGAAGTGGAACACACAACGGAAGGTAGGTGTGGGCAATAAAATACTCAGCTGTTCAAGTAACTCAGTTCACACTCAGGAAGGTCAATTAGAAAATAAAGTCAGAGAAGGATTTTATTTTTTTTATTACAGTTATTAGTATAACTGCAGAAGGCGCTTGAAGTGGTAGGAGCACTCCAGCTGAGCACAAGCCTCAACAGGCCTGTGCCATAGAAGGCCATACACAAACTGATGCATGGTGGCATCATTTTGGGGATAGGAGGCTTGCCACAGTGCCTTCTTACTCAATGTCTGCGTGTGTAGTAACACGCCACAGGGAGAAGACAAATTTGATCATTTGTTTTCCTAGTCCTGGGAATAAAACATATTTCCAGAAATCAATCAAGTCAATCTGCATCAAATGGCATTGTAAAGAAAAACTAAGAGAACTTGATGCCAAAACAAATTTATGTTGTTACAATTCCACAGCACCCCCAGCATTCATTTACTAGCTCAAACACAACTCCTCCAGGTGAATCTATTAAGACACTTACCACTCCAAATGGCCGACCAGGCTTAGTGCATAACCTCTCACGTTTTTCAGATACGATAATGTGGCACCAAAGTCTCACAGACTACGTTCCAATTCTCTAAACAGGAACTAATTTTCCTAAGCGCATTACAGGGGACCAACCCAGAGTTACAGCAGCATCCTTCCTGACCTTAGACCAAGCCCAAATCCAGCGGCGACTCCACTGAACTGCAACAAGAGCCCGCAGCCACTGCGCAGAGCTGACCCACTGCCCTCTGCCCTGCAGGTGAGCCCAGCCCCACACACCACCAGGAGGCCAGGACGTCTCCGAGGCTCTCTTCCACTTGCAGATCTCTCAGTCCACGTCCTATTTCAGAACAACCCAACCGAGCTCAGTGTGCATTAATATAAAAACTAAGGGGTATTAATAGAGTACCCTAATGTGATTAGACACGTTACAGTGCACTCAGACTCACCTTAGAGTCCCTATACTTAATAGGCGTATGACACAGAGAAATGGATTTCTTGTTTCAAGCGTGTGACTTCTCTTGCACGAAGGTCAAGAACAAAATGCAAGCAATGCACGCTCGCTCCCCAGTATTTCACAGATAACTCTTTCAACAAAGACAGCTCACAACGCGGGAGAGCCGTTTGGAAGAATTTAAGACCCTAGCACGAACTTGTTAGTAGTCCTGGAAAAACAACAACACATCACTGCAGCACCCAGTCTGGATCAATGACTGGAGCAAGGGAACAACAACAAGGAAATGTGAAGTAAAGGTTAATTGCATACAGGGTTGTGTCAGTGCTATAAAACCAGCTCAGCTAAAATACGTTAAGTGACCTTGGGTGATAATTGCTTGGAAAACCAGGCAGGCAGTTTCCAATAGGAAGCACAACTCAGGCCATTTTTAGAATAAACACCTAGAAACAACCGATATTATGTGAATTACTTCAAAAACTGAGCGTCCTGGTCACGGCACGAAGAGCCAAAATACCACTTTCAAGGTGTTTGCTTCGGGGGAAAGACCTTTAAGATTATCTTCTACTAATCTTATCCACTGCTGCTCTTCCTAGGCAATCCCAAAGAGCACACAACACAGGCTTTTTTTTTTTATGTTTTATGATTTCCTATTGCTCCACAGCCATACTACAGCGAGTGCGCAAACAAGCCATAAAAGACAGGATCCCGCTTAATACCTGTCCTAACACCGGCACTTTTATTGGCCTCCTCCCTTCGCCGCTTAACTCCTTTCCCCCTAAACCCCACAGAGCCGAGGGGGCAGGACGCCAGCCCATGCCCCTCGCCGTGAGGTCTCCCGACCCCGAACACCTGCGGTGCCCCCCTTTAGCCCCCCAAAACTTCTCCCCTGCGCTGAGGCAGCCGGCGGCCCCTCCTTAGGGGCGCTCGACGGGCGCCTCCGGGCGGCTGGGGCTGCCCCCTCCCCTCCTCGGGGCTCGCCTCAGGGCTCGCAGCCCCTCCTCGCCCCACAACGCCGCCCCCCGGCCCCCCACCAAGGGCACGGCGCTGCCCGCTCCCCCTCCCCGGGGGACGCCACAGGGGCGCTGCTCCCTTCCCCCGCGGCCCCTCTGCATCCCGCTCCCCGCCCGGCCGGCACCGCGGGGTGCTGCCCGGCTCCCTCACCGCTCTCTCCTCGGGGCCGCTTCTCCTCGTCGCTGCCTCCGTTAACGCCGCCGCCGCCGCCCCCCGCTCGGGGCTCCGCTGGCCGCCCTTCAGCCCAGGCCCTGCTCCCTGCGGCGCTGCGGCTCCGCTGCACCTGCGGCGGGGCCGGGAGGAGGAGAGGGCACCCCCGCTCCGTCCTCCCTCAACTTCTCATCCCTCCCCTCCGCCTCGCCGCCCCGGCTCTGCCCTCGACCCTCCCGGAGCCAGCGGCGGCCCCTGGGCCAGACGAGCGGAGGCTCCCCCCTGGCCGGCACCGGCGAGCCGCTGTCCGGGTCCCCGGGCGCCCTGCCGCCCCATGCACTGCCCCGGCGCCCCGGACGGCGGGCAGGGGCTCCCGGCGGGGCAGGTGCCCTGGGCACGCCTCTGGCGGGTGGGACCGGGGCCGGGCTCCGCCAATCGGCCCCGCTGCGGCGGGAGGAGGAGGAGGAGGAGGAGGAAGGAGCGGCCCCGGGGGCACCCCGCAGCCTCCGGGTGCTCCTCGTCTCCTCACGGGGCGGCCGGGTCCTGCCCAGCGCCCGGCTCGCTCCGTGGTGGCTGTGGAAAAACACGAGGCACGGGCGCTCACGAGCCCCTCATTTTTGTCTCCCCGGTTCGTTAGAGCTAATTACGGTTGCTTAATCGATCCTAGCTGCCTCGGGTGATGCACGGCCCCTTGTCCTGCCGAAAATGTGAGGTTCCTACTGCTTGTGAACCCTTCCTGGGGAAAGCTGCCTGACAGGGCACATAGCACTTCTGGTCCCTCTCCTCCGCCATCCTCAAAGAGACCTTACAGCAGGCTGCCAACTCTCACCCGGCAAAACTTAAATACAATTGGTAATTCTCCAATAATTATTTCTGTATGTGTCTGTGGCTTTATTTTAACTCACATACCAAACAGAATGGTAATAGACACAGCTGACAACGAAATTCTGTGAGACAACAGGCCACGCACCCCCACCCACCACACACCTTTTAAAAACAAATTGTTCCTCGTGAACGAGTTGTAAGTTCATAAGTGTTTTTTTGGGGGGTCTACTGAGGTAAATGGTTCTTCCTGTTGAAGTTCTTATAATGAGCTTCAAGGGAAAAGAAGTTTCAGGTAGCCTTTCTGATGTGGCTGAAGATCAAGTTGCTCCTTCAATAAAAGTGGAGGTTTATGTCCTATCAGCCAAAGCAAGGAAGTTAATGAAATTTATAATCCATCTTTAGGTAAGGTGAAAGAATGCCACGATAAGAAAACTCGACATAAGCTTTAAATTGATCTCCATTCTAGTAAAGATGGCTTGCAAAAGGAAATGAAAGGTTAATTTAAGTTAATCCCATGTATTTGGGACATAGAGCTTCCTACGATATTCATCATCATGGCACATCTTAAGAGCTCTTGCATTTCCCACATTAAACCAATCATTAAAGTTACTCAAATCTCATGCCCCATGTGACATCTAGTCAAGATTAAATCAGGTGTTAGGCTTTAGTGGGCGATACCCAGATCCTACAGGCTAATAGTGGCAGTTAGCTTTCAGGTAGGTGTTGAGGAGCATCTGCAAATCGGGTTCTGAAGTTAAATGCTCCAGAATCAAGCATATAGAGCCATTATTGTACTGAAAGTTTTTGTTACTTCCAGGCAAAATAAAATTCAAACTGTAATGCTAGTCGAAGGCAGAAAGGAATAGTTGAATAAGTTCAGCTTCTCTGAATGTCTGAACTATCGTCTTATTCTAGTGATAATTGACTTAGTAAAATCCAAATTAAACGAATCCACTTTTAGGTTAATAGTGGGCTTAAGACTAGATTTGAACCAAATGCAAATTTTGTTCAGGCTTCCCTGCAACATATTCATATTTCCTGCATGTTTCTGAGTGTTCTTCTCATTTCTTCGTTAGCAACTTTAATAAAGCTGTTCTGGTTGTGGAAATAGAAACGCCCCAAAGTAGCTATTGATGCAGTTATCTGGGGAATTTTAATAAAGTTACTTATCTGACCTCAGTAAGAAATCATTTAAGAGACTTTTCATAGAATTTCTTACTGAAAATGTCTCACAGTGATGGTAACATTTTGAATTTAATTACTACATACTATTTAATACTAACTAAAGAGATAATGTTGCTTCTAGAGTTCAGATCTTGGAGAGTGTTTTTTTCTGTTTGCAGAACTATGTCGTCTTTCTGCAAGAGTTTATGTCATAAAAATATAGAAATACTGCATTAATTCCAGATTTGTTTTTCTTCAGACTTCTTTTCTTAGACTGGACAATGCATGTACATTAAATGGAAAATTATGTCTCTTATGATTTTCTCCTGATTTGCGCTGCTCTCTTGGTAAAAGAGAGTAATTTCCTAGATTCCTGGATTGTGATGATTAACATACAATTCTTCAGCTATTTTTTCCTAGTTTCTCCATTGTTTTGACTATAAACATATACTTTAAGGATTTCTACAGGGCAAAGTAGAAGTATAACCTTTCTTGTAACTTATGTAAGATAGTGTTAGCTAATTTTGGTTGTTAATTGGTATGAGATCATAAGTAGCCAAACTAATTTATTTAAATAAGGTTTTTAGTTCTATTGCCTTACCAATTTGCCAGATGGATCTAATTATCTAAAATGTATATTATCTAATTTAATTGCAGTGTTGCCAGACAACCACCTCTTTCAGATCTACTTGCCACATCTTGTGACGTTGTTCACAGATGCACATAAGCCCCATTAAGGTGTACAGAAGGGTCTGCCTTTACTGTAGGCAACTCTCGGCCTTATTATCTCACATAATTGACCACTTTCACAAAAGTGGTGTTTATTCTACTGGTATAGGTTTCTACCATAACCATATGTTGTAGCTCTGAATGGTGGTTTCCAATAGACAATAACTATTGTTTTATCATGCTGCATTTTGTGGATTTTGTAAGTATGAAATGGTAATTTCCAGTTGACTAATAGATACCTGGGAAGCAGCAGAACATGGGGCTTCTCTGTCATTTTTTCACTTAGAGGAGAAACCTGTGGTGCAGTTACAGTTGTCTCTGTGCAACCTGTATGTTTACAAAACATAAGTTCTGTTTCCTTGAGTAGTAATTTCAATAAAAGAAGAAGGACTCATCTATAAACAAAGTTAGGTAAGATCTCGTCTTTGTCTACTGCTTGTCTGGCAATACTGTAACTTTCTGAGGAGTCTTTTCTTCCGACTTTATTTTTTATTTGTTAACTGTAAGGCCAGAACACTTTCATGTAGAAAAATGTTAAAATTATTAATGTTGCTTTGCTGTTGTTTTAAAATACGTATTATGGTTAGCAAAGATACAGCGTAGAGTGCGTAAAGTGTGTAAGGGGGTAGAGCAGCTGCCTTACGAGTAGGGACTAAAGAAGCTGGCACTCCTCTGTGTAGAAAGGAAAAAGCTGAGAGGTAGGATATGGTGAAGATTTATTAAATGGTGAAAGAAGTAGAGCAAAGAGATACGCAGCTCTTATTCACTAGATCCTTTAATCCAAGCACCGTGTGATTCTCAGTGCAGCAATTATCAAAACAGACCAAAGAGATGAAAGGAGCAGCTGAACTTGGTTATTTATTAACAACGGAAATTGTGGAAGCACACAGTTTCAGTATGTTTGGAAAGGGGGTAAGCATTTTTATGGCTACAAGTCCATAAATGACTATTATAGGGTAGGGTTACACCTGCAATTGTGGCAGCACAATCAGTGTTTGACCTAGGGAAGAGAGAAGAATTGATTACAGGAGGTGGCTGGGCTCTCACATTCTCTCTAAAGTTTTGGTTTTTTTCTTCTCTTAGTGGCAGAAACTGTGTGGTGGCTTGGAGGGGCTTGGTTCACTCAGTGTATTTCTTGTGTTGAGAACTCAGCTCAAAGGCATGTGAACTCACAAGTCAAGTTTTTTATTTGTTGTGGGGAAAAAAACAACACACAACTAGCTTTGTATCAATTTAAACAGAGAATAAAAACTTTGAAAAACGAGATTTGAAAAATCTAAGGACTCTTGTTTTTCTTGTTGGTAGTAAATGGGAGTGTGTTTCTTCAAGGTTTAAGCTCTGGAAAATTAAATTGTGTACTTTCTTTTGAGCACTTTGAGGTATTAAGTTTGTATAGATGTTACTCTGAAATGTAATATTCAGGTAGGAAGGCTAGATCTGTGGATATTTCTTGATTGCTTTTTGTTGTTGTTAATTATTGTGATATTTTGTTCATTTGTTTTCCATTTAGCTATAATTCACTGGAATCAATTCAAAGCCTGTGTAACTCAGTGTATTGTTCTCACAGTGTAATGCTATTTGACATCGCACGCTTGAGTTATTCTTTAATAGTGCAATAGCCACTTAGGCCTTTTTTTAAAAAAAGGCAGAAATACCAAGATTTGGTGTTTGTGTTTATATTCCGACTGAGCTGTCTTCTTTTCAAAGTATATAAAAAATCTGCACTAGAAAAGTCAGATCCAAAGTTTTATTTATTGTTTCTGTCCGTAAACTTCTATGTTGAGTTATGATGCCTTCTTTAACTCTTTGGGAAGTGAAATGGAAGCCAAAAACTGAAAAGTTATTGGTATCGTTCAAATGAAGTTTCAAATGACAAATTATTGTTGCATCTTTTACCAAGCTAATCCAGATAAACTCTCAAACCATCTGTATGGCTTTGAAGATTGTATTTTTAGCTGTAGTTAGAAATACTTGATTATTTACAAATGTAACTCTTTATTTTTCAGGCTTCCAAACTCTGTGTGCAAGTAATGCCATTTACAGCCATTGTTATCCTGTTTAAAGAAGGTAAGAGCTATAATTTTACTTCAGTAAGCTTGAGGAAGAGAACAAATAGCAGACACTAGTGATGGTCTTTTGTCATTTTAAAATATCAAAAGGTATTACAAAATCAAGTGTTTAGAGTCTATTGTTATGCTGTGAGGCTTACTTAATCTACTTAGTTCGTTAAAGATGAAGAAGAGGTTACAAAATGCTGCAACTACTACAATTAAAAAAAAATAAATCTTCTAAATACTTAGCAAAGCATGGAGGTGGTACTAATTTTTAATCCTAACAGATGCAGGCTGCTTTTTGAGAACCAAGTAAGATTGCTCTGGTTTGTTAGCTACATATTGTAATAGGTACTGAGTTAAAAATCTGACTGCGTACAAGGTGAAACAATCCAAAAAAATAAAAAGCCTGGATGTGCTTTGATTTTATACTACTTTGATACACGATTTTAGGAAGTACTGGTTAGGCTTGCAGATAGTTATAACTTAAAATCTCACATGACAATAAGCTGTGGTGCTGTGGTTGATGTTATCTTTTTTTTAAAAAGCAGAAAAGGCTAGTAGTGTGTGACCAAAAATAAATAAGGTACCTAATAGTGCTCAGAGGTTGTACTAAAACATCTTGCTGTTTGAGAATAAAAAAAGGCAACAAACAGATCTATTACTCCAGTAGTGTTTTATTTGATTCTTGTAACATTTCCCACTAATAAGAGTATTGGCTTACTACACCTACTAAAAAAACCACCAGACCCAAAAACCTTTGTGAATTTCATCTGTTCTCTTTACCTCACCTGAAAGGCAGGAGTAACAAAGAGACCCAACATGTCCCTCAGTAAGGACTCAAGGAAATAGTTAACTGAACTGAGATCCAGCTGGTCATTTGGTACTGGGGTAATTGACAGGGGTGTGGTATGGTATGCTTGTGTGTTCAGTTTTCTGTTTTATAAATGGGTGTTCATAGTCGTAATTGTAGAGTGGCAAAAGCCTGACTAAACAAATACTTACTCATATGGGTTCTACATTTACTCTTAGTCTCATGAAGTAGACTTTTTTTTTTTTTTTGGTTCAGTTTTGAGAGGGTAAGATAAGATAGATAAACCACATTGGTCTCAGTGTTATGTCTTTGTTGTCAAAGGTCACACTTGGCAATAGTTTAAAAAAATATGCTAAACAGTGTTTCAGCCTCCAGAGAAGAGTTCAGGTCCTTCCTTCCAACAAGACACCTTCTATCACCTAGGACAGAGCTCTAGCTGCGCTCATTCTCCTTGGTTAACTAATAATGACTGTAATTTTTTGCACATTTTCCGTTTGTCATAACAATACTGTTTTTATAATGAGCTTGATGAGTCTATGAAAGACATTGTAGGACAGAGTTCCTGCAATAGTAGGATAAGAGTCTCAACCCAGGAGGTCCTTTTCAGTCCCAAATTGTTGACTAGAGACTTACAAAACATGAGGGGGGGTGGGGAAGAATAGGACTCCTCAGCCTTCTTGTTAGGACGTTTGTATGGGGTACAGGGCAAAGATCCTGAGTTTCCAATGCCAGGTGACTGTTTAATATAAATACTCTGCCTTTGTGACACAGAAACTAGGAGAGGTAGGGCGGACTGTGATCCAGAAACTGGATTTATTATAAAATAAAACAACAATGCAATGAATCAAAATGGCTAGGGTAATAAAATATGGCCACTGATTCAAGTCCACAAAGCATGAAGAATGTATTAAGTTTTAAGTGCCATAGGTCAGCCCAGCAGCTGTGCAGTGCTTTAGTAAGTCAGCAACATCTAGTATTAAATTCCTTGTGACATCTGTATACCTTCACTAGCAATGCCTGTTAATCTTCTTATAAGCCTTGCATTGGCTGTGATGAGAAGCATACCAAAATCACTCTGTGTACCAGCAACACACCAAACAGAAGTTTAACAATGTTTGAGTAGCCACCAGCAACTCACAGTGTCACGTATTCTAAACAAATTCTTCCCTTGCATACCTGTGTTTCAGCCTGCAAACACCAGTATCCTCTCACTGTTGTACTGAAGTCATCACCATCCGTTTTAAAACTCGACAGATGAAATTTTTGTAATTTGTCTACAGAACTAGAAAGGCGTTCCTTTTTGCTCTTCGGTTTCTAAAGTAGTAAGTGTCTTCACTGAATTTTCTTGTCCCTGTTTCATTTTTGCATGTTCCAGTACGTGCTTTGAACTACTTGCCACCTTCCTTGCTTTTAAGCAGCCCTGGTAACAAAAGCGTTCTGTCAGGTTCTCTTCTGAGTGCTGCACAAGCCTTTTTCTATCTTACACCTTTTTTCAACACATCTGTGTGCTACAAGCATCATAGTGTGTTTCCTTTCTTCCATTCACATCTAGGAAATGTATCCATACTCTGCAATTCCACAATCAAAATCTATTTGAGATGCCAGCCATTTGAAACTAAGGTTCTTTCTTGTTTTTATTAACTAGCCATTCTGGAATACAGGCTGTGCAATTTTATACTGCCTCTTCTGTTACAAGTGGCTTTACATTTTCTTATAAAAACACCGTGTAATTATTCCAATATTAATTCTGTATTTTTTTAATCAGTTTTTAAAAGTATATCTGCTGACACTTCCTAAAATATTTTTTCCTTTTCTTCCACCTATTCTGTTATCACTGGGCTGAAAACAAGCAGAAAGCTTGTAGACCTGAATGTGTGGAATGATTCACTTAGGGCAGGGGACGTGCTTTGGAACAAGTTGAAATTAATTTTCTCCCCAAACTACCCTTACTTGTTAAGTTTGTAGTGTGGCCTTCTCTCATTTTTAGGAGGGGTGCTAAATACCTGAAGAAGGATGGGAGATAAGCTTCCAAGAAGATCAATTCTTGATTTCCCTTTCTCCCCAAATCAGAGAAAAGAACAGTCTTAGCAGAGCAGACTTCCAACAACCCATGAAAAAATTTGAAAATTTTAATTACATATTTAACGTATATATAGATACTGGAAATCTGTTTCCAATGCTAGCATACTTATTATTTTTCTTTTACACCAGTGGTATGACATGAGTAGTCATTGATATGTGTATTTGACTATGTTTTTCAGATGAATAACCCGTGCACTAACTTTTGAACTTACTTCATGTATTTAATAGTTTAGATTAAATTCTCAACAGCGTAATGGCAAAAAGCTGTGTAAAATAAGAATGTCAATCAGAACAAGGAATTTTGTTTTAAATAGGATTTATGTAGCGCCAATGCTGATATTCTATAGAAACAAATTCTAGAAAATCTACTGTAAACAGTTTCAGGAATTAACTAATATTTTACATAATTGAAATACACATTATCCCTCCTTTTTGAATAAGCATTTTGCTTGCTTTTGTTTCCTAGGTATCTTTCCTCCCTTTCCCCTTCTGGAGGGGGAAGTTTGTATTAATCATCACAGTTTATTTTCTTTGTCTTTCTACAAATATATTGTAAAATGTAGTTCTCTGAATACAGAGCTATTTAGCTTGTATCTTGTTTGCATCTATGAACAATGGAGAATGTTGTTAATCACTTTTAACAAGCATACCTGTAAATCTCCTATGCTGATTACTACTAAAGATTTTCTTAAAGCTACAGCTTTTCCTATAACTATAGTTGAATGTTGCTGTAATGATGTTATCAAGAATCTTAGGTGGTGTTTGTTACTTCAGTTTTCCTTTTGATAAACTTTCTTGACTAATGCAATTTGCTTTTGTTTATTTTTCCCCTAAAAAAGTCACAAGCTTACATTTTATGTTCCTTACATAGGGAATAAGATGAACTGTGTTCACTGATTCGAATGCAGCAGATACTTAGATTTTACATCTGAAGTACTTAATATCTAGAACAAGGAAATCTGAGCTCTATTTCCTTTTGCTTGAAATCAGGTGAGGAAGGAGAATAATTTTCTACCCAACACTGTCATTTCTGCTTAGAAACAGTTAATACTCCTGTAACCTCGTCCATGCTTACAAGCTACCAAGGAAACTGAGGTTGGACAGGATTAGTAGAACGAATAGATAACTGCTGACAGAGAAACTGCTAACAGAGACGTTGGCCCAAATTTGTGATGGAGGGAGAGCAGATGAAGCATTTCTTTATGCAGAAATTTTCTAGCTCCTTTGCAGTCATGTGCTGATGCTGTCTTACAATGATACATTCCATGTGTTGTCCTGCTCATATGAATGATCTTCTGCATGACCCTGGATGAACCTTTGGTGATTTAGTTGAAGCTATTATCTGTGACTGTGTACATTTATATTAAAGTTCTCTTGGGAGCTTTGAGTAATATATTGAACATTTTGCTAAAGGAAATTGATTCTTCTCAGTTTTGTTTTAAGGCTGTGTAAATTATACAAGTGGATCAAGATATTTGGAGTAGTGATCCATTACACTGTAATTTTTCCCATTATCCTATTAATCTAGTAGGAAAGAGAGAAACTTGGATGATTATCTTCTGAGATTTTTGGATCTATGTGCTTTATTTTTCTGTGAACGGGGAAGTGTACTAAAATCCACTATAGAAATGTTCTACATCTTGATTTGATTATTTGGAAGCCATGGTGAATCTTCCTTCTGCAGAAGAGAAGTCTGGTGCTTAATGTTGACCCAGTAGGAGTTTTAGAATGAAGTCTGGAGATCCTGCCTATCCACAGTAGCTATGACCAGTAACAGAGTGATCCTTGGTCATGAGAATCAGAATAAATTAAGTTGAAAGGAATATCAGGATGTTGTCTAGTCCAGCCCCCGCTGAAAGCAGATCATACTAGTTTTGGGTGCTCATGGCTTGTCCACATGACTTTTGAGCACTTCCAAGGATGGAGGTTTCACAACCCATCTGTGGAACTTTTCCCAGCGTTCAACCACCCTCATGGCAGCTTTTTTTTTTCTTTTTTTTTTTTTCCAGACAACTAACTAGAATTTTCCTGTGGTGATGATCTTCATGTCCATTGTCTCTCATGCTGTCAGTTCATCTCCAAAAAGAGTCCGGCTCAGTCGTCTTTATACCATCCCATTA